CATCCTCTTTATATATATATTAAAGCCATATAAAACAGCCGTGTACTGCGGGGAAGTGGCAAACGTGATAATGCACCGTCTGCTAAATCATTAAAACGCCTTACCACTTGTCATCCCGGAGACGCGGTAATGTCTGTGGCTTTGGAGTTCTCAGAGTGCTTCTCCACCGACCTTCATTGTGAACAGCCAGAATCCTACGTGCGGAGAGCCTAGGAGGGCAGCGATCATATTGGAAGTCACCAGAGCACGTATATTAGGTTACTCAGAGTTCGATGTGCTGCTCTTTTGATGTGCATAGCGTCTTCTTCTCCATCTTATTCTTCCTATTTTTCTTATTCATCCTCTTCATTTTTATCTTCTTCTTCAACATCTTCTTCTTCGTCCTCTTCTGCTTTTTCTGCTTCATCTTATTATTTTTATTCTTCATCCTCTTCGTCTTTATCTTCTTCTTCCTCTTCTTCTACATCTTATTCATCCTCTTCTTCTGCTTTTTCTTCTTCGTCCTCTTCTTCGTTTGATCAACGTTTTGTCAGGGTTGTTTGGCGATGCTGTTGCTGCTGCTGCGTTGGTAGCGGTGCACAAGGACAAACAATAGCAACAACAACTCAACACGTCCCCCATGTTAATATTGACGTGGGGGACGTTGTTTCAATTGCACTCGGCTCAATTGTAACACTGCATAAACATAAACAACGTGTCCAATTAGTGCCTATTGATTTTTCATCACCGCCTGCATCAGGTATTCTATTAGAGTGGATTATAAGCTAATTATACCTATCTATATATAAAAGTAAAACATTTAGTTTTCATTTCTTTTAATTTCTTTTTTTTTACCTACGTGACTTTACCGAAAAAACCAAAGAGTAAAAAATTGTCTGTCGGTTTGTGGCTTTGTGTGTGTTTGCACGCTTGTGAAGGATTTGGCTCTCCAATGGTGTAGTTTACGTTAAATAAAAACAGCCAGGTACCACATCGTAAGCCCCGGTGTGAGCAAACGCTATTCACTTTTCACATCCGTGAACTTTTAATAAGTTAAATTAGCGATGTAGTGCGATTTGTTTGCGCTATATCTTTATTTATGTATTTATTACGCATGCAAGGCCATACCAATTCACGCGCCTTTCGTGGGGGGGACGGCCCATGCCAAGTCGCACGCCTTCGTTGGGAGTGAGAGGGACATTTTCTTTCGCGTTAAAAATGCTTTAAAAATACACTAAACGCTGAGCTTAAATCTTCACTGTGTGATGTCCGTCCCCCCCACCCCAATGCATGCAGTCACTAATATATACAGTCGCTAGATGTTACTACTATAGGCCGTAGATATTACTGCAGAGCGGCCGGGGAGAGCGTGGCTAGGGGTTAGGGTTAGCAGCCCAGCCCCAGCCTGCCAAGGTGCCACCTCGGCCGGCTGGACAATCTAGGCGAGACCGGAGGCTCTGTACGGGACTAGGCGTCACCACGTCACTCTGTCACGTGAGTACTTTGTGCTATAGAGTCGATAAATACTGCTATAGAGTCAGCATGTACTACTGTAATCATAGCAGGTACCACCACAGTCAGTAAGCACTGCTGTTAGATTTTTAAGATAAGTTTTAAAATATTTTTTTGGCCTGGGCAACGCCGGGTATATAAGCTAGTATACAGTACATTTACATTTTAAAGCCACATTGTTAATGTGTGTCCTAGACATTGGAATTAATATTGAATCCACAAGCATGCCTCGTGACCGGTGGCCGTGATTCCCGGGGAGAGAGTCATGGCGAATGCCGATTACATCACCGTCACAACCGTGCACACACACGCAGTGGTGGCAGTGTGTAGGTACGCAGTGGTGGCAGTGTGTTGGTATATAATGGTGGCAGTGTTGGTACGCATTAGTGGCAGTATGTAGGTATGCGTTGGTACGCAGTGGTGGCAGTGTTTAGGTACGCAATTGTGGAATTGTGTCAGTACGCGTTGATACACAGCGGTGGCAGCATGCTGGTATGCAGTGGTGGCAGTGTGTCGGTACGTGTTGGTACGCAGTGGTGGCAATGTGTAGGAACGAAGTTGTGGCAGTGTAGGTACGCTTTAGTACACAGTGGTGGCAGTGTGTCGGTACGCGTTGGTACGCCATCATAGTGGCACTACTCCCAGCACCAGGCGCGTGTAAGGGACTATACCACAACGCTTTTTATTCCTGTACCGCGATGGCTCCCTCCTCAGAGGGGGGACAGTGCCTTTCTGTGTGTGTGAGGTCGTGTGTGTTGGCGCCATGGTGACAAGATGTTAACTACCTCATCTGGTATACAGAAGATCATGGGTTCGATCCCGACTCTCACGCCTGTTGTATATTTAGAGTTTGCGTGTTCTTCCCGTGGTCGTGTAGATTTTTCTCCGGGTCCTTCGGATGTTCCCTCTACATTTGGAAACATGCGTAAACAATTCCACATGATTAGCCACTTCGTTGAGCAACAGTTTGTGGCCAAGTCCCTTCTGAAAAAGAGCTAAATAGCTGAGTGAACCTTACCGGGTAAAATAAAAATAAAAATAGTTTAGCTTTACTGCATGTGCACGGCCAAAACTAGTGAAGATTATCTGAACCTGTCCTGGGTTTCCTCAAGATCGACTCAGCTTCAAATTGAGTACCTGGCACGGTGTGTAAACATCTCCCCATCGTGTGCCGTGCTGGACGTCATAGGTGCTCACTAACAGCACTTGCCCAAAGTCTGTTAAGGCTACACGGGGGGATCTTTGTCTTTTTTAGTGGCAGTATTGGCTACCTGATGAATTGATTTCACATCGGCACTCTTACATTACATTTTTTTGACCTATTGTAGTGACTGTAAATGTCATTGTATGGTGCCGGGCTTACGAAGCCACGGTGGATAATGTGTCAGCATTATGTGTAGCCCACTTACTGGGCATAGTGCCAGCCCTAGTGGGGCTTGTGTGAGTGCTAGTCAGTGAGTCGGGGATCGTCACAGACCCGGAGAAAACTGCTTGCATTCGGATGTGGCAGACCCCCACCTCGGCCAGCAAGGTGCGCAGTTTTATCGGCTTTGCCTCCTATTATCGCTGATTTGTCGCGGGGTTCATAGCTATAGCTAAACCTCTCCACGCCTTGACAGCTAAGGGGAAAAATTTCATTGGGTGGAGGAGGAGGAAGCTGTATTCCACTCTATTCGTGATGGGCTGGTTAACGCCCCTCCCCTGCATTATCCCGACTTTTTGTTGCCATTTGTGTTGGACACGGACGCCAGTAATACTGGCATTAGTGCAGTGTTACCCCAACTCGTTAATGGCGTGGAGCACGTGGTCGCATATGGCAGCAGGGCGCTGTCTCCGGCCGAGCAGCGGTACTGCGTAACGCGCCGGGAGCTATTGGCCATTGTGGTTTTTGTGCAACAATGTCGGCCGTACGGGCAATATTTTGAGGTGCACTCCAATCACGTGGCGCTCCAGTACGTGTTGCATGTGGCTCAGCCCTCAGGTCAATTGTCATGCTGGCTCGAAATCCTGCAGGATTTTTTGTTCAAAGTCATGTATTGTAAGGGTTCTTGCCATACGAACGCCGATGCCCTATCGCGATTGCCAGCGGGTGGGGAGTGTGCTTGTTTTTCGGGATCGGGTCGTTGTCGATCGGCCGGCTCGACCTCCCCCTCCCCTCTCGTTGCATCCACCACGGACATGATGGGAAGGACGGGCGACGTCCCTGCTGCATGGAATGCGATTTTGGGGTTGGACTTCGAGGTGTGGAGACTTCGGCAGGCGGAGAAGGCGTCCCTCCTTAAGTTTCGCCGACGTGTCAAGGAGACCGCTGATGGCATGGCTCCACAAGGTGTCGCCTCGTTTGTTCTGCGGGGCGGGCTGCGTATTTACTGGGATAGAGGATTGCGCCGTTATGCTATTATTGTCTCTACCGCCCTGTGTGATGAGGTTGTTTGGGCTGTGCATGAACGCTTGTTGCATCTCGGAGTGCTAAAGACGCTGGCCACTCTTAAATTGGATTTTTATTGGCCGGCCATGGCCTCCGACGTCGAGGATCTGCTTAAGGGGTGCATGCAATGTGCCCGGCGGAAGCCGCTGCAATCCATCCAGGTGTTGCATGTAAACAAAATTTTTGCCCTCGATTTTCTCGGGCCGTTTCCTGCTTCCGCGCTGGCTTATGGCCTGGCCACTCCCGAATCAATCAGCAGTGACTGTTACCAAAGCGTTCCTCAATAGCTATGTTCTGGAAAAGGGTGCCCCCGAGTGCCTCTTGACAGATCAAGGCAAACATTTTTCGTCCAAGCTGCTGGGTGAGGTGTGCGATTTGCCGGGGACGAAAAAGGTACGCACGTCACTGTACCACCCGCAAACGGAAGGCATGGTCAAACGCCTACACCGGACTCTGACCTTCATGTTAAGTGACTTGGTCAGCGAGTCATAGGTTGATTGGAATTTGCATATTCCTGCGGTTCTCGCCACTTATAGGATGGCCCCTCACGCGTCCACTGGCCTCTCTCTCTTCTTTTTGATGTATGGGAGGGAGTATGATCCTCCCATCGATGTAAAGTTACAAGCCGCGCCCACCCCGAAGGTGTCCAATTTTTTTTATTCAATTCGGCTCACGCTCGCCAAACTTTCCGAGGCGTGGGAAGCTGCCAGTGTTAACTCTCGGGCCATGACAGTTGGCCAATGAGCAGCTCAAAGGTGCCCGTGTTTCCCTGTGTGATTGGTCGCCAGGGGACAAGGCCTGGTTGCATTGTCCGCAGGTGCCAGTGGGCACATTTTCAAATTGCTGCAACCATGGAGAAGGCCGGTTGATGTGGTTCGATTCGTGCGGTCGCAGTGTGTTCAGGTTCAGTGTGGTAAGCGGAGCTGATTTGTACACCACTCTCATCTTAAGCCGTTTATCGCGCCGTGTGAGTTTGTTTCATCTCCATATTGCAGGGGCCAAGTGTCGGATGTGCCCGACTAGCTAGGGCATGCGTCTGCCAATGCGTGTGCTCAGGAAAGTGTTTCTGTTCCGCCCCCAGGCGCCACGCAATTGATGCCTCTCACCCGGCCACTCATGGCGGCCCCGCATGCTCTGGACATGAAGGACCCGACGACCCGGCCTACTGCTCTTCACGAGAAGCCGGCTTCGTTGGGTCAATTTCTTGTTCCCCCCGGCCTTCCAGGGCAGTCGAACCCAACCCACCTGGAGGACCGGTTTCACGAACTCGTTCAAAGACTCGATTTGCGTGATCCCCATGCATTGCACACTCCCACACCATTATGGGTTGTCGCGCTCGCATGAATCATGGCGGGTATTTGGCTGTTCCTGCTCGCCATCGAGCTCATGGGTGGTGTTACACGTTGTGGGTGGGAGATGTTGATTATATGGGATCTTGTACGACGCGATTGTTGGGTTGTTCACTTTTTTAAATTCTTGCTGTTGTGTTTTTTTTTTCTCGGTGTATATAATGTACAGTTGGGTTTGGGTAATTTATTACGTTGGCCTGTTATTGTTGGAGAAACTTGTTTGTTGTTTTGTATAATTGTATTTCGGTTGCTTACTTGCGGGGGAGTTGGCAGCCAGGACGGCTGGAAGCTACGGAAGGTGGGGTGATGTAGTGACTGTGAATGTCACTGTGTGGTGCCACGCTTACGAAGTCACAGCGGATAATGTGTCGGCATTATGTGTAGCCTGCTTACTGGGCATATTACCAGCCCTAGCAGGGCTTCGGTGAGCGCTAGTCAGCACGGAGGCGCCACATACAGTGTGTGGTGTGGGCTTCCGGTGAGGAAGTGAGACGGAGTGTCAGCCAGCCAGGGTTACGCTGGGGCATGATACGCTGGTTAACCTGCCGACACATGACCGGATGATATTGGAGGGGGGCCACCAGTGGACGGGGGCCAGTCAGCGGTCACGTGGTATAAAATAGCTTTCGGGAGCCTTCAGGAAAGAGCTCGAAAGATCTAGCAGGTGGGCGGGGCGAGTGGCGGAGCCAGCCCTAGCCCAGGCCGATATAACGGGGGCCCCGTGAGAGGCTCGGGGTTCTTCGTGTTGCTGGTGAAGATGATCCACGTCGGGTAAAGAAGCCCCTAGCCACGCGATCCGGTGCCCAGCTTGTGGTCCGGGCCGGGATAGCGAACCGTGTCTAGTTCTGCCGTAGCGTGGCTAGATTGGTATTCATCACCAAAGCGTAGGTTGTGTTATGTTATGTTGAGTTACTGAAATAAATAGTGTTGCTCCAAAGACAACGTCTGCGACTCAGTTGGACTCACTACACTATTATACCGTACTTTTGTCATGCTATATTCTGAGCATGCCTTGATAGCTGGCTAGCCGGAGGAAGGGAGAGGTGGACGGATGGACGGCCACGTCCAAATAAACGTGCAGGCTGTATAGTCTATTAAAACTAGTGTGTGTCTTTTTAGATTGATGCATTGTATATGCAAATTGTGATTCCTTAAGGCCAATGATCAGCACGGGTGAATGGACAGATGAGACGGAACAGAGCAATTGTAACAGAGCCACCACGAGGCGGAATGATACCGACGCGACGGGAGGAGATTCACAGAAGGCGGATGGAGCAATCAACAACAGACAGCAAGGTCCTTTGAGTTTATCTCTCGAGGTAGCCGCACGGTCGCAGGACACCACAGGTCCAAAGGGCCCAAGATATTGAGTGGCCAGTGACACACACACATGGGACACAGAGAGAGAGAGACTGTGACAGACGGGACACACACACACACAGAGACAGTGACACACACACACACTTGGGACAAAAAGAGAAAGTGACACACATGGGATACAGAGAGAGATAGTGACACACACGGGACAGAGAGAGAGACAGTGACACACACAGGGGACACAGAGAGAAACAGTAACACACACATACACACGGGACACAAAAAGACAGTGACACACGGCACACAAATATAGAGAGGCAGTGACACACTCGGGACAAAGAGAGAGAGTGACATACACACATGGGACAGAGAGAGAGACAGTGACACACACACGGGACACAGAGAGAGAGAGACAGTGACACACGGGACAGAAATAGCGAGTGACACACACACACACACGGGACACAGAGAGAGTCAGTGACACACACACACACGGGAAAGAGAGACAGTGACACACACATGCACGGGACACATAGAGAGTGAGAAACAGAGGGAAAGGGAGAGAACCTAACATTACAAATAAGATCCTAGAGAGGAGCCGATTCTCTGTGCCACGGGGATTCATGAGGTGGTTGGTGGGGACGAAGTGGATCACTCCCCGGAAAGGCTGAGTGAGAAGAGACTCCAGTGGCATTGTTGGCGTTCATTGTTCACGACAGCGGGGAGAGGGAGCTCTGACAGCCAGACTAAGAAATTCAGACAAACCAAACAACATCGGGCGAAGATTTATAATGCATTTGCACACAAAAAACGTTATAAAGCTATTGACAAAGATAGAGTTTAGACATTCTCGGCAAGGAAAAAATTACCGGCATTCCGCAAGGCCACGCAGATCCTGCTTCTGCATTAAACGGTTTGTAAATCAGCAGGGACCGCGGTGGCGGCTGAGCGATATTCGCTCGCCAATGAGCCATGTCACGTGTGTATGGGCTGAGTTTCTACACGGAGAGCGACAACATAAATCGTCTTCATCATTGTGACACCATGGTGGCGAGATGTTAACTACCTCGCCGAGTATACAGAATGGGCGTGGGTTCGATCCCGACCCTGGCGCCTGCTGTTTATTTGGAGTTTGCATGTTCTTCACGTGTTTAGAGTGTTTGGCCGCTATACATTTCAACGTGATAATAAGCCACTTCGTTGAGCTATCAATTGTGTCCAAGTCGCTTCTGAAAAAGTGCTACATTTCAATGGGCCTTACCTGGTAAAGTAAAAAAAAATGTTCATAGTTTTATGGTTGAAGGTGTCACAACGTCGTCACCATCCCTCGTAGTCCTGCGATGCCATGATCTATCCTGCTGCTGCAACACGAGCCGGTCTCATGCCTCCATCTCCGTGGTTGTCATTCTGCTGGACGCCTTCCATTCCTTGGCTGCCACTCGGCTATTATTCTTCCTGACCATCGTTCATTCACCGTCCCTGCTGGCCGTGACTCAGCCTACCCAAGCTCCGCTCACTGTTCTTAACAGTGAATGGATCTTATCATAAAAATATAAACTATTAAACTATTTTATATTTTAGAAGGCAAGGCCACGCTGAGCTGTGTAGCTCTTTTTTAGAAGTGACCTGGCCACAAATGATAGCTGAACGAAGTGGCTTAACATCACGTGTAAATGTATAGCGTATAAACACTCAAAATGCATTTTCTTGATTCTAAATATGGAGGGAAAATCCGGAGGACCCAGAGAAAAATCCACGTGACCACGGGAAGAGAGACACCGCAAACTTCAAATATACAGTGAAGGAAAAAAGTATTTGATCCCCTGCTGATTTTGTACGTTTGCCCACTGACAAAGAAATGATCAGTTTATAATTTTAATGATAGGTTTATTTGAACAGTGTGAGACAGAATAACAACAAAATAATCCAGAAAAAAGCAATCAACGACAGACAGCAAGGTTCTTTGAGTTTATCTCTCGAGGTAGCCGCACGGTCGCAGGACACCACAGGTCCAAAGGGCCCAAGATATTGAGTGGCCAGTGACACACACACATGGGACACAGAGAGAGAGACTGTGACACACAGACGGGACACACACACACAGAGACAGTGACACATACCTTCACACACATGGGACAAAAAGAGAAAGTGACACACATGGGATACAGAGAGAGATAGTGACACACACACGGGACACAGAGAGAAACAGTAAGACACACATACACACGGGACACAAAAAGAAACTGTCTCAGTTACCATTTACCCACTGTAGATAGGTCTTTTGGGCCCTGTTTGGGCTGCACCATATCCTCGATTGCTTGTGTTGACTGGGAGCTCATACCTGCTTCACTGAATCGATCGTTGAGGTCAGAATTGAGGCTGTCTTCTCCTTTTAAATTTCTCCTTCATTTGTCTTGCTTGTTCCTTCATCCACCCCTCGAGGAAAAGGGATGACTTTCCCATTACCATCATTCCCAGACCTCACCGTATCTTCCACAGGGGATGGTTGTCATTCTTGTTCAAAGGAAGACTCGGATGTTGTGTAGCGTCTTCAAAAAATACCGACACTGATACGTCATAACAAGTCAGCTGCTTACACTTTATTTCATCTGTTCTCGCACCAGTGGTAGGCACTCCTACTATCTATACACTTGAATTCTCCCTGCTCTTATCTATTCTGCACCTCACTTATCCTGCCCTCAGCAACTCCGCACACAGCAGCTCCGCACTCAGCGATTCTGCACACAGCATCTCCGCACTCAGCGACTCTGCATACAACAGCTCCGCACTTAGCGACTCCGCACACAGCAACTTAGCACTCAGCGACTCTGCACACAGCAACTTCGCACTCAGCGACTCTGCATCTCCACCACTGCCCTCACCTATGCTCCCTCATACCCGCTCACCTGTCTGTCCAGGGCCGGAGTTCAGCCAACACCCGCCAGGCGACTGCGTGAGGGTTGAGGTCCCGTTGACGGCTGGAGCGGCAGCGGCGAGATGTTTTCACTCTTGGTTTCCAGGCAATAACAACTTCCTCCGCTTATGCACACTCCCCTTATATACCCCTCCTAATTCCGAGTCCTCACACACTCCCCCTCAAGCTGCCGCCAGCCCGGCACCAGTTGCCCCATTAATCGCTTATCATCACCCCCCATCTCCCGTCTCTTTGGCGCCAACCTCCGGTCACAGCGTACCAACTTGTTTGACCTCAGTTGCACCCTCTTCTCCCCTTAATTACTGGAGGTTTGTCGGTGCAAACCTCATGTTGCAACGCACACATCTGTTGAACCTCAGTTTCACCTGCTTAACAGCGTGCACCACGAATATCTCTCCTCTACATCATCCCTCCCACCCTGTGAATAAAGATGCAGCCATCCCAATTGTCAAATCTATGCGAGCATGTGCGCATGTGTTCTGACCGACCCATGGAAACCAACGTAATCATAAGCAGTGACCACGGAAGGGGCAACGAAATAACAAAAATAAACAGTAGCGAGCGTAATGTCACGGCGTGAACAATCTGTCCTATTAACAAAAAGTGATGCATTGCAAGTGAGAGTGTGTGGCAGGACTGTCCCCACGGGTAGAATTGGTTTCGCTCGGGTGTGAAGAATGGTCCACTGCAGGAGTTCTCATCACTCCGTCCGTTCACGTTAGGCGCTCCGGTCCTGTAGGCAGTATAGAATAACCCCCCTCATGGCCTGTTTCTTCAGGCGTGGCGGTGGGTGCACCGCACACATCAGACATTGGCCGCAAGGGATGTGGGGATGAATTGACAGGACCGGGTGAGACATATCTTTTAACCTCAATGGATGCACGAACCAGCGCCGCTGGCCCAACCGAACACATACACACTGTGGCTGCCGGACCTGAAAAACCTTGACCGGTCCCTGCCAAGGACGGTAGAGTTTTAGGAACGTGCCTTACGGGCAGTGCAACCACGCCATGTCACCTATTTGCCAAGGCACCCCCTGCCCTCCCTGTCCCCGCAGCCACTCGTTTCCAGCCTGCCTGCGGGCTGAGTTGCTCCTTGCAGCCTCGCGGGCCAACCGCAGCTGCTCAAGTGTTTGTGATGTGGGGTTTGGCACCACAGACCCCTTCCGAGAAGGGCGCAATCCCACTGAACCTGCACCGGGGGTTAGGGCTCTTTCCCATACATCAAATAGAATGGCGAGAATCCCGTTGAGGCATGAGGAACAAGCCTGTAAGCAGCGAGGACCCCTGGAATGTGAAGATCCTAGTCCGACTAGCCCATGATCACTTGCATAGCATGGCAGTGAGGGTCCTGTGCAACCGCTCAACCATCCCTTCCGTTTGTGGATGATACGGTGAGGTACATATTTTTCGCATGCCCAGAGAATCGCACACCTCCTGGAGCAACTTGGAGGAGAAATGTCTGCCCTGATCCATGAGGAGTTGCTCAGGGGCCCCCTTATCAAGAACATAGCCATATAAAAAGGCGTCTGCTATGGACGCGGCCGATTGGTCAGCCAGAGGCCATGCCATAGGCCAATGGGTCAGATATTCAACTACAACGAGGAGGTACTTGTGTCCTATCTGGGATACCGGAAAGGGCCCCAAAATGTCAAAGGCCACCAATTTATTCACC